ATGTGCCCTGGGGGACACAAACTAGACTCGCGTTTGGTTCTCGACATTATTGTGAGTGGTCGTGGTGACGGCAATAGGGTATAACCAAGCCTATCTTCATTGTAACTGTTTGTAACCAAATTTATGCTAATTGTAACTATGTGTGACTTGGTTACATAAGTTACAAATTAGACTGACATGATCATAGATCGTCACGCTAAAGAAAAATTTAATCACAGTTAGTCATAGATAACACGGGTCGGTGAAAGGTAATATGTATGATCGTGGATTTGAGTTGAAGGTGGTACTAATGGTGCGTTGAAGGTGATGGTGGTTGTAACTTTGGTACTGGTATGCGGTTTGTATATATTTGTTTGTGGTGATCAGATGTGACCAAGTATATGTTTAATGAGATTGGGTGTGACCAATTTTGTGTTAATTGTGATTAGTTGTAACTTGGTTATGTACCGTCACAATTAATATTGATCTCGTCACAGTTAGTCACACTGATGATAAATTTGATCATAATTAATCACAGATAACACAAGTCAATGATTTGAAAATTTTCTGAGGATGGCGTGAGTAGGGATGGTATAAAGTAAGGGGATTAGTGGGGTGGTTTTGGGATCATGTTAATGACTTAATTACATATAATCACAAATTAGTCAGTCACCAACAGCCACAATGAAGACAAATTTGATCATAGTTAATTACATATAATACAAGTCTGGTCACAAATAACACAGTTAGTGACAAATCTGGGGAGCTTTCGTTGGGGTGGTGTGTAATCTCCAAAATAAAAACTTTATATTTTTTTATGGGGTGAGGTGGGGTGGCGTGGGGGGTGAGCGTGGTGCGGGGCGTGGTTTTAGGGTGGGGTATGAGCTTGAAAAAAGTTTTCAATTTTAAAAAGGTTTGTAGGTGGGTAGGGTACATGGGAGAGGTTCCGTGGGTGAGGTGGGTTGGGAATACTATTAATTGGGTTGGGATAATTAATTTCAATTAATCATATGTTATTAATTTGAATTTTGAAATAAATTGATAAGTTTGTTAATTTTGAAATATAATTCTTACACATAAGAGTTGTGTATGGTTTCCTAATTTTAAATTAACAATTTTAATTGTGGGAGCCCAATGCAAATAAACACGAACCTTTCTAAAATTGTATCACGACTGAACCCAGTGGATCATGAGATAGGATGAGAGCATGAGCGGACCCACATGGGTCATTTGACCCCACAAAATTTTGCATTTTTTTAAAAATCGTTTTATGATCTGCTTTAATACATATCAAATGAAATCGAAATATTGCATTCTTAATATTATTTTGAAGTGCTCATAAACTAGTTTTTCGCTTCTTAATGGCGTGCGAAATGATCAATCGTAGAAAAAGTAATGATATATCAAAGTAAGCCGCTCCAAATTAGTATTTCGAAAAATTTGATAATATGCTAATTTTTAAAATTTGTCAATGATCATATATTATTTGAATCCACAAATCGTCTGCGTCATTTAGAAGCTTGTTTCAAAAATTATATCGTAGTCATATCGAATAGTCCAAACGGATATTGAAAATAGTTAAACATGTGTCAAACGTATGTACTAAAAAAAACGTTTAACTTGTTTTTCTTTTAAAAAAAGTCAATATTTCATTAACGTTTATTCTTTTTGTGCTATAAATTTTTCAATATAATTTACATCATTTTATTAGAAAATTTTACATGGAAGATGACTTTAAAAATTCTAAAATCGTTACGATTAAATGTAATTTGAATTACTTTCAAATTATTTTTTCATTAAAATTAAATTTCATTTACTTCATAAATTAAATGTGAATTTTATTTCAATTCGTTTATTTTCTACATCCAATTTGATTTATTCACCATTAACTCGACATTTAAAAATGACATGGTAAACAAAATTATACATGTAACAAAATTCATTTGACATCATTGATAATGATATAATTATAAGACATTTTCAAGGGATCAAAATGCTTATTAACTTATTTTTATTAATATTATATTATTTTAAAAAATTAAACATTAATTTTTGACTCCACAATCTAAAAAGGTTGGGGCCGCCCCTGGATGAGAGGACTTAGGTGGTATAGGACCGTGGAAGGAGAAGATTGGGTGGACTTTTTACTCTCATTTCTTTCTCTATAAAATTACTAGTATTATTATTTATTTTACCTTCGCAAATTGTACCATATGCTTTGAACAAGCAATCTCTTACCATCCATCGAGATCACTTGTGTCACGATAATGAATGGTTGAGAATAAATTTGCTCGCTTTTGAAAGTTAGATACCAACTTACAGACGCTGTTAACCTCTCGTTAGCCCCTATTTTTGGGAAATTAAAAACTAAAAAGGGTAGAATAATATTTTTTTGAAAAACGAGTGATTAAAAAAGAAGAATTTTTTTTTCGAGTTATGTGTAATATTAAACTATGAAAGATTGTGTGATTGCAAATACAAGAGGAAAAAATGAAATGTAAAGGATTCAAAGGGGGCTAAATCTTCTTGAACATAAAACTTTTGCCAATGGGAATATAAACAGACCAATTTTCGATAATTCGAATCCTTAATTTGAGATAAATGAAAATTAAGATACCAAAATGAAAATTTAGACGGGAAAAATCGGAACATGACCGACTGAAGTTTCATTCTCTTTCAAATCTGCCATTTCGGATTTCTTCCCCTTACGGCTTTCGTTCCTCTGTTCAATTCAGTTTCTCCATGTTCCCCGCTCTCACTCTTCAACAGCTCCTTCGTGTATAGATTTATCTTATTATTTTTTAATAGTAATTTATTTGTTTACTCAAAGCCAGATTTTGACCTCGATCCAATAAAAACACAAAAGGGTTTCGTGATTTAACAGAAACCCAGTTTCGCGTTTATTATTTAGATGTAACAGCAATTTTCATCAATTTTGTGGCCTAACTTATGATGCCACTGACCCCTTGTTTCGAATTCACTGGTAATAATATCTTCTCTTTATTACTCAATTTGCATTGCGGTGTTCAATCGTCTGCGTGCTTCTTTATTAGTTGTAATTATTCTGGTTGACATTTATTGTATATCATTGCTTAGAATTAATTACAGTGATTGAAGGGATATATTGGCATCTTTCTTCTGTTGCATTTTTGTATTTCTTTTTTAGGATTTGAGTTTATGTGCTGATACTAATTGGATCATATTTTAGGTCAGCAAGTGATAAGTTGCATTTTTCTGGAACAGAGATATTAGAATGAAATCGAAAATAAAATGGGCAGCCCTTGGAGGACTAGTGTTGTCATTTATGTCTCTGTTGGTGCATTTATTTCTTGCCAAGTCAAGCGCTGATCTAGTACAGTACAGTGCAATCAAGGCTTTCAGTGAAGACTTGCAACATGCAAACAGTGCTGGCGTAAAGGTATAAGAAAAGCGCTAAACAGAATTATGCATGTTAGCTTCCCATCTCAAAATTTACTTACATAACTATATGCATAGATTGTGCAGTGTGTGAGGTTTGATTTAGCTTGTCAGTGCATGAATAATATGTTTGAATATTGCTGAAGGGTGCTGGATCTAGGAAGCTGTGGGGCAAGGTGAAGGCTCTAGAACCTCTGCAGCCATATGCGAAACCAAGAAGCTCATTTCCTGGTAATGTGTGCAAGTCTCTTTTCATCTGTCTTGGAATTACTGCCCTGTCCACTAACATATTGAATATCACTAATTACTATTCGTAATGGAAAAGTGTATCTTTAGTTAGTTAAATCATGTTATTGTCTATATAATTCACACGATCCATATATATGTGTACATTATGCATTCTTGCCGTGTTATTTGTTTTTCATATTTACACATATATCTCACATGATGATTTTATAACACCTGCATTGTGCGTATAGAAATTCTAGAGATTGCCATGCTTGGTGGAAATGAAATTCAATGCAGAAGTTGCTAGAGAATTCATAAGATAATTTAAGAGAGAGA